TTCTAAACGTGTAAACACATCTGGGTATAAATTCACAGTGAGATCCCCTAGAGAAGAAATGCTTGCAAATCTGCCTGTGACCTGCTTTGATCAACATATCGTGTATCTTTCCATGTGAATAACTTTCCCGTGTCACTTTTTCATGACTGCATGGTGTAACAGAATTTCAACAGTTCCCCCCGTTGTGGACTGGTTTATGAGCTGTCGTTTCTTTTCTTTTTCTTTTTGAAACAGTTCTCACTCGGTCACCAGGCACCAGGCTGGAGTGCAGTGGTGCGACCTCGGCTCACTGCAACCTCTGCCTCCCGGGTTCAAGCAATTCTCCTGCCTCAGCCTCCCAAGTAGCTGGGACTACAGGTATGCGCCACCACGCCCAGCTAACTTTTTTGTATCTTTAGTAGATACGGGGTTCCACCATGTTGGCCAGGATGGTCTCGATCTCTTGACCTCGTGATCCACCCGCCTCGGCCTCCCAAAGTGCTGAGATTACAGGCGTCAGCCTCCGCGCCAGGCCTATGAGCTGTCATTTCTAACAATGTTGTGATAAACAGGCTTGCTAATACCTTGCTCTTTGAGCACGTGGCTACGTCTGCAGGATACACTGGAAGTAGAGAAATTACTGTCAATAGGTGTGTGCCTTTTTCAGGCTTTTTCTGTGTGATGCCTAACTGCCTTCTGGATATGCTACACCAAATTCGCGTACCATTAGCATGAGTATTTGACATTGGTTTGACTTTTGCTAAATTTTGTTTCAACTTTTAGATTCAGGGAGTCCACGTGCAGGTTTGTTACCTGGGTATATTATGTGACACTGAGGCTTGAGGTACGAATGATCCTGTCACCCAGGTAGTGAGCATAGCACCCAACACTGAGTGTTTCAACTGTTGCTCTCCTCCCTCCCTCCCTCACGCATCTAGTAGTCCTCACTTTCTTACTGATACCATCTTTATGTCCATCAGTACCCAATATTTATCTCCCACTTGTAAGTGAGAACATGCAGTATTTGGTTTTCTGTTCCTACATTAATTCACTTAGGATTATGGCCTCCATGACTTTGCTAAATTTACAAGAGGTGGAGAATCACACACACCCTGTTTTACTTCGTGTTTCTTTAATCACTGGTGAAGGTCAATATTTTTCATGTGTGGTATCAGCCCACAAGTTGACCTGCAGTGGTCCCTGCCCCCTGATAGCCCCGTTCTTGTGTAATCAACCCCACAGTGAATCAGGGATGGTCTCTGGGCCAACAGAACATCACAGAAGTCGTCATGTGTCTCTTACGACCCTAAGCTACAAAAGACAGTATTTGCTTCCTATAATTCACATGTTCCTTGTTGCTGAACCTGTGCTCGGTTTTGTGAAAGGTCCGCAGATATCTCTGCCTCTCTCCTGGATCACTTCTGCCTCCCATCCGCTGGAGTCTTGGGAGCCTTTTACTGGAGGGAATAGATAGCTGGGGTGGGCAGCTCCATGAGAACGGAGGCCTTCTGCCAACAGCCACAGAGGAGCCGAGGGCTCCAGTCAATGTGTGTGGATGACCAACCATCCCGGGACCGTGGGGTGAGCTGGGGCACAAGCCTCTCAGTGCTACCTCCAGGGACGAGTTATAGTCATCCCACATGTGAGTGAGCCACCTGGGAAGCAGAGCCCCATCCTAGTCAAGCCTTGAGATGACTGCAGTTCCAGCCAACAGCACGTGTATGACCTTTAAGACCCTGGGGCAGAATCACGTGACTGAGCAGTGCCCAGATTTCTGATCATCAGACCCTGCATGAAATCATGAGTGTTTGTTGTTTTAGGCTACTAAGTTTGCGGGTAATTTTGTTCCACACAAATAATACATTATGTTTTTAAAACACTTTATAAGGATTTAATATGTGATAATGGTATTTATCACATGACTTTACCCTTTGGGAAACGATGGGTTATTCAGTAAATGATGTAGGAACAATTGGTTTAACCTGGGGTAAAAGATAAAGGTTTTCAATCAAATCATCGTCAGATGTACTGAGGACACTTGAACAGAAAGTAACACACCTACTAGAAGAGGGGCAGGTGTGTCTTGACAGAAGCTCGCTACTGCTCAGGGTCTTTGGCCTTCAACATACACCTCCCTTGACCCATGTCCATCATGCTTCAGGTCTTGGTGGAAACAACGCCTTCTCCACAAGCCCTGCACAATCTTCTCAGCCAGGTAGAGGCTGCCTGGTGGATCTCTCATGGCTATGCCACCTGCCGCATTTTGCCACCACACCTGGCTAATTTTTGTATTTTTAGTAGAGACTGGGTTTCACCATGTTGGCCAAGCTGGTCTAGAATTCCTGACCTCAAGTGATCTGCCCGCCTCAGTCTCCCAAAGTGCTGGGATTATAGGCGTGAGCCACCACGGCTGGCCCAGTTTGCATATTATAATCAATGGTGAGTGACAGTTTAATAGGTTGCATTTTCCCTCATTATTTGGTAAACAGTGGTGCATCTTACAATCAAAAGGGTCTTAGATTTGATGAAATACACTCGTGTTTAAACTAGATAATATATAGGCCACTTATTGTGAAAGTTTTACTCTTCTTTCTGAAGAGTGGGCCACCTCTACAGGACAGATACGTTGAAGAAGATGGACAAGTCCAAGTCTGGCTGGGAACACATGAGCCATTCTAAATCTTCAGAATGGAAGTGGTTTAATACAGAATCAGAAGCTTATATGGCTGCTGGAAGGCGGAGGCTAAGGTGAGGAAGTTTCTAGAAATCTAGGAGTGCAAGAGTTGCAGGGAAGCTCCCCTGCCCGCAGGGGTGGACTCAGCTGCCTGCACAAGTGAAGTAGGTGAGCTTCAAGACGATATCCAGAGGCTGCTGGCAAACCCCCCATCTGCCTTCTGCTCATGCTCAAAAGCCTGTCCCATGCAGTCACCAGAAGGAAACAGCTTCTAATCACCTTCCTCCTTCCAAAATCAGGACACAGCCCCTCTTGGGGCAGAATGCTAAGAACCCACGTCTACCGGCAAAGGAGTGCGGCAAGTGTCGCCTTCAGGCTTTATGTCTCTAAGGACAGGGAGGAACCGAGAAGGGCTGGGATGGTGGCAAGTACCAACAATGTCCAGCACTTTAGAACACATCAGTGAATCTGTACGTTAATGCAGAAAAGCCTAATCTCTCTCTTCTTACATGAATATAAAAGGAAAGTTTAAGATACAGGTCCCGCTCCCAATGGACTCACTTCTGCCCCCATGGAAAATGTGCAACCACCCCACCCTTGACATCAGTGCACTTGAGCCTCCGAGGCCAGCCAAAGCCAGGTGGAGGAGTGAGGCCAAAGGTGGAGCGGGGCTTGGCAAGGCCAAAACCCCTGCCCTGCTGCCCTGTTGTCCTGAGAGATTATTTCCAGAAATGAATGTGCTTAAGTGCTTTGGTTCTATGGCAGAAGAACAGGGCACATCACTTACGGGCACTTGGTGCTGACTCATATGTACTGTCATAAGCACCCTGATGTCCTCCTTTTCATGAATGCTGGTTTATCTGTTATGTTCTAGGCAGCTCGAGGGGAGGAGCTAGGTCCCTTATTTCTTAAAGATCTCCCCTCAATGCTAATAGCAACCGTAAAGCCAGAAAGATGATCCCAGAACACTAGAGTTGCCTCAATTAGAGCAGGGGAGTGGCCAAGCTCAACTTGAGCACGTGCTAACTATGGAGTGTGGCTCTCAAGGTTCAGTCGCATCAACCTGCTGACAAAATAGGGTAAACAGCCAAGAGAGAGGAAGGACTGTCCACATATTGCAATGGTGGGCTCTCACTTGCATGTCCTCTCAAACCTAGAGCTTTCCCACATTGCCTGGATCAGCCTCAGGGCGCTTCGTGAGCAAGCCCCAGCATCAAGCCATAGCCCCAGAAATTTTAACCTACTTCCTTTACTCAGCCAAGTGCAAGGACAATCCCTCCTGCAGCTTGAAAAAGCAGTGCTTTTCCTCCCAATTACACTGTCACTACTCACAGTATTTACTTTTGAATATTACAGAAGGGCATGGTGTTTCTATGTCTACAGAGGGGGGCCTTGGTTTAAAAGTTTGGGAAATCCCACTCTAGAACATGTACTGTAAGACATTTCAACAATGAGAAATCACAGACGAAAGGCCAAAGCAAATTCTAGGTGTGCCTGGAAGGTCTTAGAGCTCCAGGTGCAGAATTCTGTGGGCTACAGAGTAGAAAAGGATGGAATGAGAGGGAAAGCCAGAGGAAGATCATTTCAAGTCTGGAAAATTCACAGGAAGGGTAATATGGCATAATAGTCTATGGACTAAAAGTTTACAAGCCAGATGGGAGGGGAAAAGGGGCCCCAAATCACTCAAGTCTCAGATCACTCAAATCAACACTCCCATTCTAGCCGCTGAGCATCAGCCCTGGAGCCCCGGTAAGGACCCCGTTGTCTCCAGGAAATCACAGGACACGATGCTGTGGAGCAAGAGCAGTGAGGGTTTCTGGGTTCCTCAGCTGTAGCCGCAGCTCCTGGAGACGGGGACAGGGGTAGGGTAAGTGAGGCTATGCAACTGGAACCCCAGTCCTCCAAGGGCATCCTGCCGGGACAGCTGGGCCATCTGGAGGCAGAGGGCCAACAGCAGGTGCATCCAGGAGGCAGCCTCTGGCCCCCAGTGGTAAAAGGGCAGCCGGAGTTGCCAGCCAGGCGTACGGACTCAGATGGGGTGAGATACCTCGGGGCACTGGCGTTTTCTAGCACACTCGCATCACTGATGATATCATAAGGAATAAAGGCTCTGACCACAGATACGGCTCATCGACTGAAGTTCTAACAGCCCCCCTGGGGTCTCATTGGAGACCCCTGTAAGAAATCAGCCCTTGGCTCTTAGGCATCTGTTTACAGGTAGAATCTGGGCAGGTTTTAAAACTCAAGTATTTTGGACACGGAAAGCCGCAAGCTTACTAGAGTGGCTGTTTCAGTTCCAACCAATTCACGCATTAATATAACGCAGTGATGATAAATAAAATCACATCTAAGCCTTTAAATGAATCGTTGAGATTATTTAACTTTATTTTTTTTAATATGAAAACTGCAAAACATAGTATTTATGTAAACACCGAAGGACTATTCAAGTGGGTAGAGCATATTCATAGAAACACTTTGAAAGAAGACCAAGTTTAAGTAAGAATCTTATGACATTTAAGAAATAACATAGATGAAGCTATTCTGTAAATAGTTGCAGTCGTGTCTAAAGTATATTTGGTTTTCTAACAAGAAAAGGTACATTATTGCCCCTGACGAACATTTTCTTCACATTTTTAAGTGGTTAATGGTGACAGCACCAATTCTCATAGCTTATAAACCTTTTATTTGTTATGCAATGTAATAAACATGTTATACATTTATAATGAAATAATAGTGCTGAATATGTTTCACTTGAAAGTTCTAACTTACAAAATAAAGCCCTCAAACATTAGTCTGAATTAATGTATCATTCAAAGTGTAGCAGGATAAATGGCTCAGAACTAAGCAAATTAGAAATATTCCATAGGACAGAGAACTTCCCTGTATGGAAACCAATCCACAGATTGTTTCTTGTCCTCTGAAACGCAAGTTGAGAGGTAATAACGATGGCAAATTATCCACTTAGATTTCACAAAATAAAACATCTTACAAATATATGGCTCATCCTACCTCTGGGGGAATACAAAATGCCATTATAAATTAAAAAAAAATTACTTGTGTGTATATTTCAGGTTAGAATAAAATATAAAATACTATCTATATAAAGAATAAACACATAAAATAAGGTTATATATCTTAAAAGGTTAGACAGAGGTATCTTTATAGAGAGGTGCAAACAATGAAAGTGTAGTTAAATGTCCAAACTTAGCCAAAATATGGAAGTTTTAGAAGAATAGTTTTTTTGGAGGAAAAGTAGTCAGACTTTATTGAAACCACCCTTGTACTATATTTCTTGCATTAAATAACCATTCTATCTATCATATAGTTTATCTAAAAACTGTTAAGAGCACTTCATAAAAGTTTTTAAGCTTATTTTTTTCTCTAAAACTGAGTAAAACTTGTAGACAAATAATAGCAGAAAGAAAAATAACTTATATGACTATTCTCTTTCTGGAAACTGGTAGAACATGGCAGCATCAGACAGACAAAATACTTCAGAAAGAGCTATCTATGGGTACACCTTTAAATTCTCTTCTGAGGAAAAATCCCCATAGATTTCATCATGGAAGTTGCCAACCCCTGATAATACCTCTCTTAGCTGTCTTAGTTCTCTGTATAAAGATGAACCAGAATCAAAGGGGTTTATTTTCCATTTCTTGCATGAAATATTTGTAAACAATATAATAAGAGTAATTTTTAAGACCTATAAAGAATGAATTTCCTATTGGACTATTCTAATATTATCTAGCAGTTAAATGGTTTTGAAAGTAGTAGACTGGACTATAACATAGTTCTACAATTCTGGCTATATTTTGAGAGATACTTTCTAAAAACCAAAAATGACTAAAGGGCAGAAAATGATTCTACACTACTAAGGCATTGGTATCTCTGGAAGTTGGCCCAATCTAAATTTGTACAACGATTTTTTTTTAATTTTGAAAGCATTTTCCTTGTTTAAGTTGTTCAATGTAGTAGCATAGCTTCATGACCGTTCCCAGCTTCAGACCCAAGTACTTCAGCATCACGTCGCTCGTGAGTAGGAGCAGAGCCTGCCCATCAATTTCCTGTGGAGAGAAGAAACTTAACAATAATTAGTAATGCTTCCATATTTTCAACAGAGCAGTTAGTTCTTTATGAGAACATGTAAAGCAAACTAGAGAACAGTTCATTGCAGATGTATATTCTCTGAATATGCATCTGCTTTATGAACACTATTAAAAATGTAACTTATACAGTGAAGCACCACTTGGTAATGTATGAACGCACTTCAAGTTCTAAGAAAAAGGAAATTTAACCTAATATCTTAAAAAATAAACTGTGTCAAACTTAACTTTAAATACATACTCCAGGTTGAATAAAATACTACACATCCATGACAAAATAGTAAAGACCAAGAAGAGCAAAAATGAATTTCAGATGGTCATTAAATTTCTGAGAAGGGCTGGGAAGATGAGTATGTCAGCATCAGTGCAAACTATAAATGTCTATACAATGTTGTCTTTACCATGAATGTGAATTCGTTGTCTGAAGCTAATTAGATGCTAAAACTAATGACCAACTTTCTTACTATACTGAAAGTCAGCTATGTGGCTACTAATTTTATTTGTTAGGATACAGTGTGAAAATATTTCTTCATAGTCACAAAGCATCCTTTTAAAATTCCTTATCTTAACTGAGCAACTTAAGCTGCTGAAGCATATGACTTGGTTTTATATGTTCCAGTTTAAAAATAAAATCTCACTCATTTAACACTATCTGAAAAGATCTGAAATCCCTTATAGTACAACCTTATCTGAAAAGACCTGAAATCTCTTATAGTACAATCTTTGTTTGGCACCTTCCATATTTTTTCTACTGAGCATAACTCAAAATTAAAGAAACCGAATCTTATAAAACTTTGGCCTAGGATATTACTTTGTAAATGATCTGGTAATAGCAAGAGGGTATTAGCATCACAAATCATCAATAATAAGGCAAATAGAATCAGTTGTTGAATCACCGGTTATATAGAAAGAAGGTTACTCTATGATAGTTTGTGCTTAACCCCTCTTCCTCGTGGTCCTGGTGCCCAGCTGGGAGCAGATGCGGGAGGATCATTGTATCTGTCCTTACAAAGGGGAGGTACACCTGAGTGGCCATGCTGAATCATCATGTCTTGAGAAGTTGAGGCAGTTTGTAGTTTAGGCACTTTGATACCCATTTGAAGAACAGACTATTAGCCTACCATTTAAGGCTAACCTGGGGCAAAATAACCTTTCTGACATGGAAAAATCAGTTGATAGGGTTCACCCACTATTCACACAGTATCCAGCTGAAAGGCTTGAACAGAGGTCATTCAAAGACATTACAGCAACAAAACAGGATCAAAAGATATATTACATGGTTTCTGAAGAGATCGACAAGAGGGGATAATGTCTTAGGATCCGTTTGCTTCAGAAATAGGACCACTGCTTCCACCGACCATGTTGCAGGGTGCTTAATGAAGTTGTCCTCTAAATACATGTCATTGTCCACTGGTACACTTATAACTTCAATGGAGAGGAGAAAAGAAAAAAAGATAAATCACACTTGTCCTGATTATTATCCTGAAAGTACAGATGTTAGGAAGGGAGGAATGGTGTCTTTGTTAAAACCTTCTGTGATGTTCCTAGCAAGGAGTCAAGACTCCAACTGTAAAATCTAGTGAAAGTCTATATAAAGATGATGTGAGGATGTCTACACAAGAGCGTCCCATCTGACCTTCCCTAGATAGCAAAGACAGGTTCAGACGTTACCTTAAAGTTTCAAAGATCATAACACAGATGAAGCAAATCAAGTCTTCTTTGGCCACAGGCAAATATGGCAAAAGATCTGTCACTTGGGTAAAATTAGGTTAATCTAGCCTCTTACTTCAAGTATTTCAAGGAATTTCTCTCCTAATCTCTCTCTTGGTCTATCTAGATTAGGCTGATTTTACTAGCTAAATATAAATTAATAAATATAAAATACTAGCTAAATATAATTCCCCAAATTTACAGTTTTATAATTGCTTAAATTTGTTTAATAAATGAACCTCAATAACAACCCCATTATCTTTAAGAACCAAATCAGTCCTTTTATCAAATCTTCACCATGTATTCAATAAGGTTATTTTTAGTATCACTTTACTCTTTAGATTCCTGTCCCTGATGGCCTACGTGCTAATGTGCACTTTGAAGAAGACAAGATTGCTTTCTGCTAAACTAGGCCAGAAGTAACTATAACATTTTATTTAATTCCTCTTTCATGCTTAATTGCATAGTAATAGAGATTTTGGTCAAAGGTTTATATGTTAAAAAAAAAGAAATAACTGAGTTATGAGACAATTTAAGTGCTCATACTTCAGAAAGTTTTAGCTACGCTCTATACTAAGCTGTGTTGAAATTTCTTTGTGTACTGCTAAGTATTCTTTTACTCACCCAGAGTGTTCGATTCCCTAAAATTAGTGTGTGATGACTAAAGTGGGTTTCATAATTAGTTAGGGAAATTTGTTTCTCCAACCAAGACCAACAACACAATTTGATCTTTGTGTGGTGTGTGGTGTGTGGTGTGTGTGTGTGTGTGTGTGTGTGTGTGTGTGAATGAATTAGCCAAAGCATACCCTTTCTTCCCTATCATCTGGGCTGCTGCCATCTCAGGAGTGTTTTTTATTTATCTAGGGAAAGAGTAAAGAAAAATAGAAGATTTTAAAAATCACAATGAGGCAGAGCTCTAGAAGTGCTACTCATCAGCTCTGTGACCTTGGGGACAGGGTAAGAAATGTGCCAACACCATGGTGTCATTATAAGTGGGGAAGAGGGGTGTCGGTTGATTGGCACAGTGCCTTGCACATAATAGACACTCAATAAATGTTAGTCATCATTCTGAATATAACCTAAAACCAGCCCTCAAAATAGGAAATGAGCAGCTTCAATTAGTTTGCATCAAGGATGTTGATAAATGCAGGTCAAATAGTGCTACTTGTAGATACAGCATTTCAACCTCACCAAAACCAGAACGGAAGCAGAGAGATGATACAATGTGCCTATTCTCCACTAAAGCTGAGTAACTCATCATCTCAGGGGCATGTACTGAACTGGGCTCTCCCTGGGCCAGCATACCTGAAAGTGGTACTGCAAAAGAGCGGTCAGGTGAGTACTTGCCTTGGCTGCTGTTAACCCTAGTGCTGCCACGGTAGGGCCGTGAAGAGCCAGGCATTGCACCATCAGATGCATAAGACGGTTGAAAACCATGCTCAGAGTGGTCTGAGGGATGCACTGGACTCGGAGTACAGCTGAGGACTGGGTCCTCCTCCGGCTCAGCTCGCTGGTATTCTTCCATGTGAAAGGATGGTGCTGGATTGTTGCTCTGGGAATCATCTGCCCGCACTGCCACCGGTGAAGTGGGACTATAACTTTGAGAGTAGGAGAATGTCTCGTAAGCCTGACTTTTCTTCATTTTCTGGAGTTTAAGCTTTTTAGCAAGCAGGCAAGAATAATTTCTGTATGCATATCCATATCCAAAGCCAGATGGCTTCTGAAATCACAGAAACACAGCATCAACCAACGGTGAGTAAAAAAGTAGTAAAATGAGTAGTAAATACATTAATACTTATTTTCCATGCAACTTTGCTTTACATTATTAAAAATAAATGCTCCTTTTTGAGTATATAATTGATTCTTCTTCAATTCTACATTTTAATTGTATTTTACACATGATAGTTACAAACATAAAAATACGCAGTGTCTCAAGTTATCAAACCTAAACTTCGGCATTCTCCCAACCGAGAGTCAGTAGTCTCCATCTACAAGGATAGACATGCCTTGCTAATCTCACACAGTTACTGGTACTCTCTCACTTCTAGCTGATTGGCATCTTTACAAACCAAAGGTTTATCATAGTTGTAAAAATGTTTTTTATAACACTTACGCGATTCGTCGACCCTGCTTTTGCATTGAAACGTTGGATTTTTGAAACTTTTTTGCTAATGCCATCAATCTTCTTATCCAGGTTTTGGATAGCATCATATATAACCTATTACAATACAGTATAGTTATATAATAGGTATACAGTGTATAATATAATGTAGTTTCTATTTCAAAGAATAGTAACATGAAAATACCATTAAGTCAAATGTCAACTGCTAGACACAGCAAAAGTTCTCAAGCCATCAGAAATGTCTTGCTTCTATTCAAGGCCTGGCTGTAGGTGACACAGAGCCAATAGGCTGAGTTCAGGAGCCCCAATGTCTCTTCCCCTGCTCTACCCCATGTCGGCACTGAGGAAGCTCTAATGGTGGCGAATGAATGTGCTACAGTGCCTCTACACTAGCACACTGATGATGGAGACACTGCACATCAAGGAAGGTGCTATTTTAGGAAAGAAATGCTCAAATCTGCTAAAAGAACAAAGACTCACTTTATAATGTTCATATGTAACATATATGTTCATATATCTACAAATATGAAGTCTATATTATAGACAGCAAGTGTTCCACTCCAGAAGGAACACTGAACCAAATATAACAGATGTGACTTTTGGCTTCAAAGTACTTTTAAATCATGCAGCCAGTAATTAACCTTACAAAACCATGGAGTACACATGAGATTTATACGCCAGTCAAGCACATAGGAGACTGATAAAAATCTGAGAATTCTTGAAATACGCAGAAACTTTGGGTAAAGAAAAATATACTTAACAAAGGGCCAGAAACATTTCCTCATTAATTCATTCATTAATTCTTTCATTTATTCAACTAAACCTTTATTGACAGCCTACCACCTGGCAGAACTACTTTGCTAGGTGTTGAGAACATGGACTGAAAAAAGGCTCCTGATCAGGTGTAATCCCAGCACTTTGGGAGGCTGAGGCAGGTGGATGGCTTCAGCTCAAGAGTTAGAGACCAGCCTAGGCAACATGGCGAAACCTCCGTCTCTACCAAAAATACAAAAAATTAGCCAAGTGTGGCACTGTATGCCTGTAGTCCCTGATACTAGGGAGGCTGAGGTGGGAGAATCACCTGAGCCTGGGAAGTTGAGGCTGCAGTGAGCTGTCCCTGTGCCACCCCACTCTAGCCAGGACAATGGAGTGAGACCCCACCCTATTTAAAACCAAACAAAAAGCTCCTCTCCTAGAGGAACTGCCATCTCAGCTGGGGGAGAGACAAGTAAAAAGAGAATTCCAATAGACAAAGTGATTAATAGCCTGGAACAGTGGTTTGCAAAGTGTGGTCGACAAAACGGTGGCATTAACATCACCCGCAAGCTCATCAGAAATGCCAAATTCCAGGCTGTACCCCAGACCTATGGAACCGGGAACTCTGGGAGTAGGGGCAGTGGTCTAATCTATGTTTTCACAAGCCCCCAGGTGATTCTGATGTCCCCGGTGAGAACCACTGGGCTGCGACACTGAGATATACAGTGCAGGCTCTAGGGGAACATGGTTGGGGTCAAATACTAGAGTCCAGCCATTTACTGGCTCTGTGACCCTGGGCAGGTTACTTAACCTCTCTGTGCTTCAATGTCCTCATGTAGGGAATCGGGATGAAAATCTCTCTCAGGGTTCTCTTGAGGATGAGAACCTTGCTATAGTATTAGGTTAATGCTAAGAGAAACAACACTACACTATGCCCAGTTCAACGGTGCTCAGTGTTACTAGTTACTAGTGTTATTACCAGCATCGTGACACAGGCAGGAACAGGAGGCTAAGCATGCAGAGAAGAGCGGGCCTAACCCAGGCTGGCAGTCATAGAGTACTTTTCAGAGGAGGTGAGGTCTGAGGTGAGAATTAAAACATGAGAAGGTGCTTAGCAGGTGAGGATGCATGTAAGGGCTTACAGGGCGGAAGGAACAACAGGTTCAAAAATACCCACAGAGAAAAACAGGAAGCCAGGTGTGGAGACAGAAAGTATCAATGACGTTCCAGGAATGGGGCTGTCATGGTAAGGAGAGAGTGAGGATGACAGGAAAGGAGGGATGGGAGGCAAGAAAAGTGGCTTCTCCAAGCTGTGGGAGATCTTATAGAGGGGAAGGAGGGAATGGGACTGGAGCCAGAGGAGAGAGAGGGATGCCCGATGGGGGCAGCTCTGAGTTTGGGGAGGGGACCAGATGCAGAAAGCAGTGAGGGTGTCATCCCTGGTCACTAAAATGGTCGTGAAGGGGTCAGAAGGCTGAGCATGGGGGTAGTTGGTTGACTATGGGGACAGATATGAGGACTTGGAAGGGAGGACTGCCCCAGGTGCTCCACTGTCTCCAGGAGTGAAGAGGCAGGACTATGGGACTGAGGTAGGCAGGGGACGGCCAGCAGAGAGTGTCCTCCTCTGCTCCCAGCCTAAGCAGGAGGGAGGTGGACTCAAGAGGGAACTGGGATGAAAGAACAAGGCAGGCTGCAGCGACACCCCTGTGATCTAGAATGGATAAGTGAAGAAAGAGCCAGTCGCTTGGGAGGAATGGAGAAGGGCCCTTGGGGCCATTTCAGGCTGACCATGGCCCTGGGCACCTCCTCCAACAGATGCTATCTCCCACCTCAGCGTGCAGGCTCGCTAAAGGGGACTCTAACCTAGCAGTGCAGGGGGAGGCAGGCTGGGGAGAACCCGCTCCCTCCCTCCCCAGCTAGCCTCTGCACCCACTTCCCCACAAGACTCTATGTGTCCCTTGGAAGCACTCCAGTTCTGTTCTTACCCATGATCATGATAAACATCCAAACAATTTTAGTTTCCAAAGCATGTTAGCTTATTCCATTCAAGAAATCTTATATATGGTAAGAAACGTTTTTTTAAATAAGCCTTTATTACCTCTGGGGTACTCAACTTACAAAATTCCCAGTAATCACATCTCTACCAACATGGTGATTCTTACAACTCCCCCCAAAACTACCTTAGGTATGTTTCTTTATAAACCTTGATGGGCTGCCATTTTGTTTCCACTGAGATATCTTGATGTGCATTTAGGCACATACTAAAGTTCATCCAAATCAGTTAATTTCCTTTAAGGATTTTGTAGGGGAGACTAATTCAATACCGAGCAATCCAGATGAAAGAGACTCAACTACATTTGGTTGGTAATGAGCTTTTTAAAAAGCTACAAAATCTACATGTTGCTATTTCAAAAATGTCACCAGGAAATGCGGCTCTAACCAGAAATTGTTTTTAAAAAATAATCACAACGGAATGATAATCATAAATAATTTGACAGGCAAAATTTCAATTAATTGTACGCTTTCCTTTTATGTGAGATAAGGAGAATTTTTGCTTAACATTTTAGAGGACTACACTGAAGAGACAGAACTTCCATACCTGGCAATAGGTAAGGACATCATACACTGACTTCGGTTGCTCTTCAGTATTACAGGATGCATCAGCTACAGTAATCGGTTCCTGCTAGTAGTTTTAAAGTGGTTAATGCTTTCTTTCTGTAACGTCAAACCGAACACCAGGGGCGAGGGGAACTATATTTATTTATTTAAATTGTTTTTATTTATAACCAACTTTTTAATGGTTTTCAGAAGTCTTAATCTAAAGCAGAGATTTAAGAAATTCACATTTAGATGAGAATGAAAATGATAACTGACAATTGAGGAAGGAGGCAATAAAAGAATTTATTATATCGGAAGAATCCAGGTTTAGAGTTTTGTACTGAAAGTGAGTACAAAACTACTCTTAATTTTCTACTATATAAGAAAAAGGGGAAAGTAAAATGGTTAAGTGCTCATTCTCTGATGAAAGAAAGCATTCAAATTCAGGGGAGAGATATTTTCTTGATTGTGAGTTTATGGGAACTCCATAGTATATGAGGAATTTAAATTTTTTTCTTTAAAACAGCAAGTGTTAATATATTTGGCAATTAGCAATTAACACTACTTACCTCAGTTTTTGTTTCATTTGCAAATTTATGTTTTGTGTCGTATGTATAAAGAACAGTGTTGTCATCATCATAAGTAGATATTCTTGTTTTATCTGAGGAAGATTTATCAACAAATTAAAAGGAAAGATGAAAGACAGAACTAAAAGAAAAGTTGAGGGTTTAATTTCACTTTCAAGAAGCTTTTACAAAGGGCTATTTGTGATAGCAAAGGAACTTTGCTCATTGTAAATACTATGACTACAAAAAGATGTGTTTGCGGAACTGTGTTCTCATTAACCCAACAATACTTAAGATAACAGTTTTCACTAAGCTTAACCCTTTATATGCTTCATGGTAGAAAGACCAGTCCTTTAGCACCAGAACTACTTTAAAAGCAAGTGTTTCTAACCATGAACAAAAAAATAAATGTTATATGGTTTTTGATTTCTAAATAGTCCAACAGTGCCCCTCTGTGGACAAGACAGAAAACATCTGAGCACCTATTTTTCTTCATAAATTAATCTCTAAAGTACCTTAAAACTTTTTAAAATAAGATAGGGTATAAATAAGTAAGTAGTGAATAACCGTTACACTTCAATATAATAACTCTTCATTCTAAGAATGAATTATGATGTATAGGAATAATTTTAAAATCAACATACTTGGTAGCTATGTATGCTTTTGTTTGAAAATACATGATAGAAATTACAAAAAATATGGAATTAGGTTACAGTTCAGTATTTTTAAAAATATACTATCCTACTCTTGTACAGCGCCTCATGCTTTTCAAAGTGCTTTTACATAGTTATGTCAGAGAAAAATGACTCTTGTTAGGCACTTAACATTATCTTCAAAGATTTTTGAAAAACAGTAGAACTGATAGTAGTTAAGAGAATTGCCTAGACTACTTAGGTAGCATTACTATCTATGTCCTTATGTAACTAAAAAAAGGTGTTTTCTGTTAAGCCAAATTAGATGCAGTTTAATAATCTATATACTGATTCAACTTGAAGGATTAAGAAATATAGAAGAATATAACAGAAATGTAAAAACAGCACAACTACTTTGAAAAACTGTTCAGCAGATTCTCACAGAGTTAAATTTACGGAACTCCATAACCTAGTAATTCAACTTCTGTTGACCCAAAAGAAATTTAAGTGTGTGTTCACAAAGAAACTTGAACACAAATTGTCACAAGAGCTTTATATATTACTGCCAAAATACATAACAAAAATTCAATTACCTATGCATTTTACTATATAAAATTAAATTTAGAATAGAAGTATAGCACAATAAAAAGAACAAAGACGCATTTTCAATTAGAATACAAACCACATCAGCTTCACTGGAGTTGCTAGACATCATTTTTGTGATACTGCTTAGTTACCTGATAGTGGCAAACCTCTACTCCTGAAAAGCAATGCATAAGAAAGTTACTTCATATCCTTACTACCTTAATAATACGGATATGCTCTCAAAATGCTAATTCAAATTGAATTGGACTTTGGGTTGAGTTTTAAAAAGTGACAAAACCAGATTTCTTCCATGGCCAATTTAGAATAAATCTTTTAAAACTGAAGGGCTATATTGCCCATGACTAGAAATAAGAATCGAATCAAACACATTTACCAACTGCTTAGTAACTTAAAGCCTACAGAGTAAATACTGGAAACAAATGAACAAGAGAACATAAGGGCCAACTGCTTTTGTAAAGGAGCTCCAAAAGGCTCTTGCCTAAGGAGAACACATTGCCTCCAAAATGTAAGCCAGGCGTCTATTCTGGATTGAGACCCCACCAGTATGTGGGCTGGACAGCCCATGAGAGACACCATCTTCCCATGCACCAGGTTTTGAATACCAGCGGAGACGATCTCTAAGGTCCATTTCAGTTTTCAAGTTAGGATTGCCTTATTACATTGCATATGAAACCTAAATAAATGGCTGTGAAAGGCAAGCCAAACAATCTAGAATTAGGAAGGTTCAGTTATGGCTCTGAATCACTTAACTATGGAAATAGAAGATACTGGCTACAACCGTATCAGATTATATCTTGTACTAGAGATTTGCTTTGAAGGTCTGCATCCCAGTTACTGGGAAGGGTATGTTAATAAAAGAACTACTTCACTTTATCCTTCCTGAGCCAGAGCAGTAATGAGAGGCACAAGTAAGGGATTCAAGTTTCATCTCTTTTCCCGTTTCCCTTTCATTCTATAGTATAGATACTAATGACCATTCTATAGTGGAGATACTAATGACCATGAGCCCAAAAGAGAGAAATCAAAAGGGGATAAAGATGATGGGAGAACTCAAGTTAGATAAATGCACACTAATGTTGCATAGAGGTATCAAGTTGTAAAATACCTCTAATTGGAGCTCTAACTTCAATCAAATTTCACTTTTTAAACTATTTGAGTTTTTCGGGCCATAAGACTTACACAAGCTATGAGTAATTCAATTGTGGTATATTCATACAAAAGAACTACACAGCAATGAGAATAAACCAACTACTGCCACACACAGGAAGGCCAAATCCCACAACCATAACCTTGAGTTTAAAAACAGCCAGACACAAAAAAGAGAATATAGTATATGACTCAACTGACATTAAACTCAAAAACAGGCAAAAGTAACCTACGGTAGAAAATCTTTCCAAATCAATACTTTTAGATTTACTGTAGTTTCTGTAATGACTTCTTAGTGGTCTATCTCATAAATATGCCATGATTTATTAAACCAGTCCCCAATTCATAAATTCATAGATATTCAAGTTACTTCTAAAGTCTTGCTCTTACAAAGAACACTGCACAACAGTCTTGCACCTGTGGAAGTAGTTCTATGGGATAAATTCCTAGAAGTAGAAACAACGAATAGGTATCCACGTTTGAAAACTCTCCTCTACTTCTTCCCATTAAGGAGGGCTGTTGGGGTCAGCCAGATGTTCTAAACTAAACTAAGGTGGTATCCTGCCGGTCCTGCATGTAGTTTTAAAACCAAGACAGATAAATAGTACCAAATCGCTTTCTTGGCATCAGATGACTAAATCGCTTTTCTCCTTTGACCTACTGATACAACGTATTAATACATTTCTTAATGTTCTGGGGGTGAGGGGTCCAGCTGATTATAAAGAACAACATTCAATTTGTTGGTGTTTTATTTAGAAATTGTTTGCATCTCTATTTCTAAGATCTTACATTAGTGAGATGGTATATTTCTCACAATTAATGAATCAGTATTGATACATTATTAACACTTGGTATCAAAATTGCTCTGAAAAATTAGCTGGGAAGCCTTTCATCTCTTTCTATGCTCTAAAAATGTTTACATCACACCAGAATTTTTGTGCTCTAAAGGGTTGAATTAAACAAAAAGAAACTCTCTGGGTCCAGCTTTGATAACGTTTTCTAAGTTCCTCCATGGATATTGAGCTAAGCAAATTATCCTATCTTTCCTTGAGTTGTTTTGACAAATTATTTTTATCTGGAAGGATAATCATTTCATCACAATTACAGAAATTTTAGCAAAACCACGGTTTAAAATTACTATTTCTAATTTAATTTGTACTTTCCTTTGATCCTTTGACTAGGTATTCTATCTTGCTAAATTGCTGACAACCCTCTAGGGTAGGTTCTATTAGTATCCGCATTTTCCTTATGAGAAAACTGAAGCAAAGACCGCTTATTAGGGGTGTCAAAGGGAGAGAATATATTCATGGGTTCTTAGTTTCTGTTTCTAGTTGGTCCAGTAAACCCCCTTCCTCATCCCCCTTTTCCACTTATCACTAGAGACAGAGGCTAAAAAGCATGGCTTCAGGCTGCTGAAAGACTAAAACAAAACAAAACAAAACAGAAGGACAACAATGACAACAACAACAACAACAAAATAAGTCGGGTTGGACAAGCTTGATTTAAGTAATTTACCAAGGTCTTATAGCTAGTAAATGGTGCAGTCTACCACCACACTCTACGAGCTTTACTTCATTATTAAAATCACCTGGAATAGCTCTGCTGCCAATAACACAGGAAAATCCAAACTCCTACCATGGCTTGCAAGGTCCTTCCACAATCAGGACCCTGCCCACCGCGCAGAGGTCACTTCTTACCACTTGCCCCTTTACTCTAAGCCAGGGGTCCCCAGCCCCTGGGGAACCGCCTGGTACCTGTCCTTGGCCAGTTAGGAACCAGACTGCACAGCAGGAGCTAACAAGCATTGCCCCCTGGGCTCCACCTCCTGTCAGATATGTTGCAGCATTAGATTCTCACAGAAGCAGGAACCCTACTGTGAACTGCATGTGCAGGTTGCACTCTCCTTATGAAACAATTTCATTGCAAAACAATATTCCCCCCACCCCCAGCACTCTCCCGGTCCCCCAGGAAACCGAAACGGGTCCCTCTTGCTAAAAATGTTGGGGACTGCTTGTTCTAAGCCTAAATATTTACTATGTAGCCTGTTACAGGCGAGTTTGCAGACAATGGTTGCAAGCTCTTACATCCAGAGAACAGAGAACTCCCCAGTTGGATTAATTACAATGTTGTCAAAACTTGGGGTAGACAGGGAACACTGTGTACCTGGACTCCCAACATGTTTACGTTTGTGGTACATATGCAAATCAACACCAATCTTGCACTCTGAGCTTCTTGCTCCTGTTATGCCCTCTACCCATAATACCCTGTTGTGTCTCCACCCAGGAGAACCTATTCAAGGCTTAATTCAAGTTTCACCTCCAAAAAGCAAGAGCGCTATGCCAATGATCATCCCATGTGGATGTGACATGGCTTTCCCTGAACTACAAGAACACTCACACTTTAAGACTTGTGAGGCAACTGTCACACATATCTGGTTACATGAGAGGCAGCATCAAACGGCATTAAGACCTTAGGCTTGTGGCCAGAATACCTGGGTTTGGGTCCCACCTCCCCCACATACTAGCTGTGTAAGTAAGTTGAACAACTTACTTAAATCCTCTGTGCTTCATTTTTTTTTTTTGTCTGTAAAATGGGAATGGTAATAGCACATACCTCATGGAATTATAAGGATTAAATGAATTAATACATGTCAAGTGCTTAGAGCAATGCCTGGCAAAGATAGCAAAAGCTTTTGGGTATTGACCACATCTATCCAACAGAACTATTTAACAAGGAGCACAGACAACAAGCCTGGGTCATAACACGTAATTTTCATTCACATTGCACCTGAAATGAATTAGGTCATGTCTTTTAGGTACGAGGGCATGATGCAAGGAGCTGGGCTTTAGTTAGAAACACTTGAATCCAAGTCCAAATTGCCAAATTTGCCATTTCACTTTAGGCAAATATTTCATCTCTCTGTGCCTCAAATTTCTAACCTGTAAAGTTGCAATGATATCTACTTCACAGGGCTATTTAGGACAAAAATGACACAGTTAAACTCTCAGCATCATGCCTGGTTCATAATAGACACACCATAAATTTTAGTTCCTTTTTACTTCTTCCCATCAGATAATTACAGCTTTACAACATTTTCTTAGAGCCCAACCATGACTAGAACGCGCAAAATTAATTTCATTTTTAAATCTCAAATCCCACAAAATGAGTTTACTTAAAATGAAACTCACTTATATTTATCACAGAAATCTAAACTCCCCCTCCCCTTTTTTTTGAGACAGAGTCTTACTCTATCACCCAGGCTGGAGTACAGTGGCAAGATCTCAGCTCACTGCAACCTCTGCCTCCCAGGTTAAAGCAGCCTCCCGAGTAGCTAGCATAACAGGCATGTGCCACCACGCCCGGCTAATTTTAGTAGAGACCAGTTTCACCATGTTGGCCAGGCTGGTCTGGAACTTTTGACCTCAAGTGATCAGCCTCCCAAAGTGCTGGGATTGCAGGCGTGAGCCACTGCGCCCAGCCAACTCTTGATAACACCATAAATTTAAGTTCCTTTTCACTTTTTCCCACAAGATAAATCACAGCTTTACAACGTTTTCTCAGAGGCCAGTCGTGACTAGATTGTGCAAAATTAATTAATTTCACTTTCAAATCTCAAATTCCACAAAAATGAGTTTACTTAAAAAGAAACTCATTTAGATTTACCACAGAAATGGAAGCTCTTGATAACACCATACATTTTAGTTCCTTCTCACTTCTTTTCACAAGATAATTTTAGCTTTACGTTTTCTCAGATCCCAACCATGACTAGATTGCGCAAAATTAATCAATTTCACTTTAAATCTCAAATCCTGTAAAAATGAGTTTACTTAAAATGAAATTCATCTACCACAGAAATTCCTACTCTTGTTAACACTATACACTTTAGTTCCTTTTCACTTTTTTCACAAGATAAATCACAGCTTTACAACATTTTCTCGGAGCCCAACCATGACTAGATTGTGCAAAATTAATTTCAATTTCAAATCTCAAATTCCACAAAAATGAGTTTACCTAAAAGGAAACTCATTTATATTTACCACAGAAACCTAAGCTGTTGATAACACCACACATTTTAGTTCCTTCTCACTTCTTCGCACAAGATAAATAATTTCAGCCTTACAACATTTTCAAAGAGCCCAGCCATGACTTGATTGTGCAAAATTAATTTCACGTTTAAGTCTCAAATCCCATAACAATGAGTTTACTTAAAATGAACCTCATATTTACCACAGAAATCTAAATTCTTGATAACATAACAACAAGAAGCCATTTGGTTTTCTAAGAGACTTTTTTAGACGTTAAAGACATTTTAAACACATTTTCAAAAGTCATAAATATTCGCTTCCAAGGCGCAAGGCCATCAACTCATGACATGAGGCACAGCTCACAATGAGGGACCACTCACGCGGGGACCACTTTGAGGAACACACAGCAAAACAGGGCAATTACAACAGCCAGGCCGCTCCGTTTTAAGAACAATCACTTTCTAAATCTTCCTGCGGGACTCTCAAAGGCAGCCCTTCCACTGCCCCCAAAACCGTATCCCATCGCCCAGCACTTGCTGCAGGCGGGACGAGCGAGGCTCCAAAGGGCACCCAGCCCACGCGCCGATTTAGAAAACGCCGCGCTGCAAAGCTGCTCGGAAAATCGCTCTCTGTTAGTCAACCTGAAGCCGGTCGGCCCCACTGCGGGGAGAGCCGGGGAGAGCCCGGGAGAGCCGGGGAGAGGAGGGAGCGGGGGGAGGGACGCGGTCCGACCCCAACCAAATCAGAGACTTTCCTGTCAAAGACCACGCGGCAAGGGGGCCCGGCCCTCGCGCGCCTCGACGGCTCCCCAGCTCCACAGGGACCCCGATTTCGCAGGCGCTCCCGACTCCCGCCTCTGCCCCCAACACTCTACGTCTTGTCTTTCTCTTCCTCCTCATTAATGTATTTAAAATAAAACAGCGAAGCTGCACAGTCTGTCTCTAATGGAACTCGGTTACCATCAAAACCCCAACTCTATGTCTCAACCGCGAAAAGTCCGACAGGAAATCAACTCGGGAGTTGGTCAATTCTTTAAACTCAAAGCCCTGTTAACAAAGTCTGGATCCTTGCCCGTCGCCCACCTCCCTCCCCGAAACGAGAACAACTGTAAATCGGTCCTATCTTCCCCAAAATTCAGCACCAAGCACTTCAGAAATTGTCAAATTCCACAGCTCACAGGGGCAGACACTCGGGAGAGGCCGTGGGGACCACCCAAAGCACCCCCCTCCACATCGCGGCTAAAATTTGAGGCTGCGAAATGCAAGACTCGCTCTTCCCAGCAAAGCAAACCCTCTCTCTTCAGGAGAGCCCCGGCCCTTAAGCCAAATCGTGTACTCCCGAGACGGGAAAGCTTAAGGTGAGGAAGAACTACGACTGGACAGACCTATTTTGGGGACAGAGCCTATCACCGGGACCTCCGGAGGTGACGGTAAAACTGCTCGCAGTAGTTTTACCTCGCGTGCCCGTAAGCAGCAATTCCCTAACTCTGGCGCGGACCAGAATGCTCCCGGGGCGCGGAGTTTTCACACTCGCGGTGGGGGGGAGGGACTACGTGCTGACCAATCGGCGTCTTGGCGGGACTACCCGCTGACCAATCGGAGTCTTGCTATTTGCCGGCCTCACCATTGATTGGTCAATCCTCGGGCGCTCGCCCAGCCCTTGGGTGAGGGCGGAAAATTGCTACGGAGACAGCTGTGGGGCGGGGCCTCTTACCTCAGGTTTTCCTTCGCAAAGCCGGCGGTGTTGAAAAGAGCCGTTGGAACTTTCAGAGAGTCGCAAGCCTCTAGTGCTGCTAGTGGTTTCTGCGCCTGTGTAGGAGGCTGGCGCGCAGGCACAACCCTTAAGGGGCGTTGTGGCACTTAGGGGCGTGGTATACCCACTTCATTGTTGAGGTATCCCAAGCTTTATTTTAAGTGTTATCCCGCCCTTCAGTCCCCACCCCGCGCCCTGTGAGGCACCAGAGACATTGAGGTAAACTGGCTTCCTGGACGACACCCGTGATTGACTTGGAATGAGGAGAGGGGCAGGGCCTTAGCAGTGGTCCTGACATAGGTCTGGTAGGAACGTGGAGCAAGATATTTCCAGTCTCCAGCACCCACAGGTTGGACTGGGGAACTAACACAGACCTTGGAGCCAGAGTTACTGGGTTGGAGCCCCAGCTCCACACAGTCGTTCTATGGCCTTAGGCAAGCCAAGTAACCACTTCATGCTTCAGCTTCCCCATCTCTAAAATGGGTATAATATGGAGATTACATGAGTTAATGTATGCAAAGCACTTAGAACAGTACCTGGCATAGAAGTTTGCTATTGTAATAAAGGCTACCTGACATTATCTAGTGGCATATAGTCTTACGTATATCGAGGCTTCTCATTTTGAGAAGGAGACAGTCTGAGTAATTATCCGAAGCAAAGCAGTTAGATATTTCAAAGTAAGGCTGTATACATCTTTCCATGGCCCAGAGAAGAGCTACTGAGAAAGTATACTGGACGTTGGAAATGTATTGTTTTTCCTCTCTAATACGAAGCTAGAGTAAAGCCCATTATAGATATAGTATATGTTTTCTTTCTTTTTTTTTTTTTAGATGGAGTTTCGATCTTGTTGCCAAGGCTGGGGTGCAGTGGTGCAATCTTGGCTCACTGCAACCTCCACCCTGGGTTCAAGCAATTCTCCTGCCTCAGCCTCCAGAGTAGCTGGTATTACAGGCGTCTGCCACCACACCCGGCTAATTTTTATATTTTTAGTAGAGACAGGCTTTACCATGTTGGCCAGGCTGGTGTATGTTCTTTTTGTTCCTACTTTTGCCATAACAGATCCTGCCCTTATGTCTTGTTGCCTGTAAAACACTGTTGTTCAGCCCCAAGGAATCAATTACATAACAGTGAAGAGAGAAACCCATTGTTTAATTGCAGTCACGTTTATTTGCAGTTTCTATACACACTTTCTAGGTAATTAAACTTTTCTGATACATTTTTTTTTGAGAGGGGTTCACAATGAAACTGTCACCATTTTTACTAAAAATAAATACAAGACTTAAAGTGTTGCACAGCTCTAAAATATACAAAGGCTTGGATTGAATGTAAACGTTGAAAACATCTTACAAAAGAAACCATCTTTGCAACGATTTAAAAAGTCAGTATTTACAAATATTACAAAAATACAAAATGGATGCAAGTCCATAAACCATTATCTTTTCGGCCAGCATGAACTGGTTCTAGTACCAAAATAGTTACACTGTAACCTTCTTTAGTTTTAAATCTTTGTTACCATCCAGTTCTCTACCTGCAGCCACTGCAGCAAATGTACTCAATTACTGACCTTTGGCAACAGCAAACAGCATGTTTTGTTTGCTACAACTAGTCCATGTCCTCTACTTAGCCAAAAACAAAACAATATCAAAGTAGAATTTTTAAAAAAGGAAAAAAAATTCCCCTACACAACATAGATATGTTGTATAAACATAAAAGAACAAAAAAATTGCGTCAGTGCAAACAACAGAAGAGAAGTTCAGATTGATGTTCTTCACAATACCTAATGTGTGTACCCTGCTTCAAGATGGCAGTGATGTTAAAGACAGCCCTAAATCTTGGTCTTGTTTGCTATGTAATCAAGCCATGTAGAATATTCCAGATTATTCAGGAACTTCTTGCTTTTTCTTCTCAGTTTGTAACTCAGTACTCTTTTCCACAGTGAATTTTAAATCCATCTTTATTTGGGTTTTTTAAATCTATGAAATATAAAATAGAGAAACTCTGCTATAGGTTTTTAGAGTAAGCAAAATAAGTAAAACTATATTATAAGGGTTAGTTCTGTGATCATTACATATAGAAGTTATCTTATTGCCTCACAATTCAAGTCAATATGTATTTTTAAAAATATATGGTACCATTACTTAAATTAATGTCAATAATAAAAAGGTGACATTTTTATTAAAGCCAATTCATGTGTTTTCTATTGAAAATTTAGAATCACTTTTAAAGCCCACATACCTTTTTTCTTCACACTTAAAAAACCCCTACCTACACAAAAGCCATACTGCAAACGAACTGCTTTTATGAAAATTACAAAAGATCCCCTATTCTGACTGGAAATGACAGTTTCTTATCGAATTTGTGTAAAAACTTTATTTTTAAAATTTTGCAAAGTGTACTTTTCAAATCATGAGACAGGTTTATTCATGTTCCCATGTGGTGTCAAACCATGCTGGTTTCTTAACTAATGGGTTCCAATGAGAAATAATGGTCCATTTTATTTAAACCCCAAAACATTTTCTTTTAAGAAAAAGTATAACACTTTGTAAATGTTCAAACCCTTTACCAGGTAGCGTATCTATCCCCAGTGTGTGTGTGCGCACACACACACTCACACACACACGTACACACTCTCATTCTCTCTCCCTCCTCTTATACCCCTCCACCCCCAGCACCCATTTTACATACAAGGATGACAAGAAATTTAGTAATACAGTTTGGTAGTGAAAACAAATAGTAGAAGAAGCCAGACAATGTTTTTTCTTTCCAAACAAACAAACAACAGCAATCATATTCCCCATTCTTTATCTGTAGCAGTTTAGAAAGCATTTCTATTGAAAGACAGTATCTTCTTAGACCAGGCTTCCCTCTTCATTTTACATGAATTAATCCGAAACGCAAATCCCCTTCCACACCTCCTACTTTCCCAACTACCACTTGCATAAGCTTAAAGCCAGCAGCTTGTCAATTTCTTGGTAACCTTGGTATGTTCTATTATTCTAATCACATTCTAGTCTTTAATAAGTCAGATCCCTTCTTAATTCTCTCTGCATTCTACCTCTCCCATTCAAAACCTATTCTAAGTACATAGCTGCTTATATTTCTGACATAAGTTTCCAATTTATGTTAAAATCAGACGTGTAAAAACCATTTGCAGATTTTAACTTGTAACTACATTTTTTTTCAGTTTTAAGACAAGAAAATTCAAGTAATTTCAAGTAATTCAGCTTGTTTCCCTGCCTTTATTTTATCAGAGCACCTGCCCTGACATTTCCTCTCCCACCCACCACCCTCCCCTTTTGCCATCAAGCAGACACTATAGTAAAACCAGACAAAAACTCAGTTGTATGTAGTATTGTGAACCAGAGCTGTTCCCCATTCCCAGTTTAACGATGAATATAAATAATGCATATACACATACCTATTTCCCAACTACATTGTTCACAGTGTCATTTCTGTTAATTTTTAGGTAGCATGAATCTCATCAGCACAGAGAGAAAGCTTCACTGAAAACTCATCACAGGTACTTACTGATTAATCAATAGCTCTGTGGCATGCTTAGGTTTTATTTTTGTTAGTTTAAGAAGCTGGAGCTAATTTCTAAACTGTTTAAGGAGTTTAATGATTATAGTCATTAATTATGACTATTTATGTTCCCAGTAGCCTAATATAAAACATAACCTAAAATTAACTACTGTTTTCCCTACTCATTCTCTTTAAAGCAATCCGTTGAAAAAATTAAAATCTAAGGGACACTGTCAAATGCTGTTGTTCAGGGCTTTGTGTTGAGAATGATGAATTCTCTCATTGATTAAAAAAGAAAAGCATGCTTTTCATTCTGTCCAAATTATCAAACAAATCACAGCCATGAGTTGCTATTAGCTTGTTTGGTGCTGCAATTTGTCACAAAAATGATTAGGTCTGAATTTATTATTTTAAATTAATCATATTTCAGTATATGACCTCAAGATTTCCTTTAGTTCACCAGTTTAAAATTCATATTTGAGGTTTACCACTCAGAAATCATATTGGTGGACATTTAAATATGGCATTTGATATGAAAATGGTATTCACAGAATACAGTTATTACATTTTATTTTTGTGTGTTTTATAAACAGTTGGTGTGCAGTAGATTATTGACCACGTCTACTCATCATTGATAAATCTATTTACACATTTTTATCAAAAATATGGTATTTACATATGTGTAGTTCTTTCTTCTAAATTTTGCTTTAGTTTGTTTCAATGTAAAAAAATACCAAACCTCCAGAGTAATTTCATCTTCTTAAAGAGTAATGACAGTGAGGGCTTTATTTTCTGAATAGGCAGCTCTGGGAAAACGTTTTCTAGGTGTCATGAAAGTTAGACATTTTTGTATCCTCTATTTTCACAAGGAAGGAGATTGGGTAACTCAAACTACGCTAAAGGAAAACATGAAAGACAGTGCAGCTACTTAAAACATGGAGACTAATCAATAATGTCTAAACCGCTTTGTTTACCCAGCACATACTGTATTTAGAAATTCATTCATTGCTTAGCAGTAATGCTACCCCATCAAGTTGAGACTTCTCCCAAGTCCTCTATTCTGTTCCTCCATCCTCATGTGAGTAAGGGTTTTGGCGTTTGCCACGCAGCCTGGTACACAGGCAGTCTATGTTGAGCTCTGGGAGGAGCGGTCATCATGTGGGCTCCCGTCAGAATTTTCTGTCTCTCCCTCGGAGATAGCCTGCATGGGCGTGTTGTATAGCCGGCAGCGGAC